GTGTTTGCATATGGAGCCGCCTCAACGTGTGACGCTTGGAACGTTTTGGCAGAGGGACTGCTGGGTAGAAAGTCTGGGGTGGAGAGGGGGCGGGCATAAACATGGCCAATGTTCAGCCTGATCTGTGCTGGCACAAACATGGCCGTCTGGATGCATGGCAGCATTGGCTGGGAGGCAGTGTAGATGAGGAAAAGAATCATGATGAAGGAAATTATGTGAGCTGTAAAATTAGATATTACATGTGGGTTTAATTGTCATGACAAATACATGACTGGAATAGAAATAATTGACAGCTTGTTTATATTGTTTTTAACAGCTCAGTTCGCTTTGAACCATTCTTAGGGTTATAATGTGTCAGCCAAGAATATATCAATCTGTTTGTGTGTTGTAAGAAACAAATAACCCTCAATACTTCTTGAACCTTTAAGAACCGGAGTCTGGGGACTCCGCAGTAAACAGCAAAGAGGAAACAGTCTGCTGAAAATAGATGGTTTGTTTGTCTCTCAAGGCCAAAAATTGAAATCTTACATCTCAAAAAACAGCTAAATTGGTATATTTATACATCTTTGCAATGCATTTGAAGAATCCTTTAAACTTGCTTTAAAAAGAAAGGGGAAACCCTGGATATTGAAGTATGAAAAAACTGCAAAATGTGCTGAAAATTTAATTTCTTCTTGATGACAAAGTTTTATTATTATTTAGAGTTGAAACTCTACAAAGAAAAGAAGATCCTTCTCTAAGATCTTTAGGGAAAAACAAACTTCCTCAGCTTTCTCACATAAGAATAAGAAGAACTGCCTCTTTACTTGGTTATCCACTCGGAGGAAGATAGCAAGAACAGCTTGTTTTTGTTAAAATTGTGAGGCCTCAATTTAAGTTTTAATAGTTTTAAAACTTTTAAGTCATGTTTGTTTTAGAATCTGCCCAAAATCCAGCAGATATTGTTTTCTCCTCTGGCTGCGCTCCTCTTTCTGCTGGTTGCATAAGCTGGACTGCATAGGGATGCCCTCTCATTCTCGCATACCCACACACATAACTAAGAAGGCCAGGGCAGCACCAAACTTTAGCCACACAGCTAAAACTTTGCAATAGCTCATTTGGCAGCCCGGTTGACAATCCCCCCAGGACCCCCAACCAACGATACATATATTAAAAAAAACAAAATAAAAACTGACTCGGGATCCTAACACAATTAATAGAACAGTATCTACTATTCACTGTAAGAGTATCGTTACTTCAGGACAATATTACTTAAAGATATAGAGGGTGATCTTTTATTTCCAGGTGAATCATCTAAATAAGCGGTCCTCTTAATTGGCAATCACACTTTCAATAGCTCCGTTTGTGCTGGTTTGTGCAGCAAAAACAGATGTTAACTGACCTTTGATGACCTCTACAAAATATTATTAATATCATTGAAATGATAGCAGTACAAATGAAAACTTTTGCCATACAAAAATATAAAATTTAAAAATTTATTTTAAATATAAAATATTTGAAATAAATATATTTTAATATATTTTCAAATATATACATTTTTTTGTACTGCTATCATTTTAATATATTTAATACATTAATAATTGTTTGTAGAAGTAATCAAAGGTCAGTGAACATTTGTTCATTCTGAAACTCTGAATTTCATATAAATTATAAGTTGCTAACCTATCATTATATAATTTTAACCTGTAAAAAATGATAGTGGCACAAACGAAAAAGTTTTGTCTAATCTGAAGAAGGTGGGGGGGCTGGTTGACCTTTTGACCTTTACATTTTCATTAATATCTTCAAAGCTAAAGCAGCACAAACGCCAATTTTTGCTGCACAAACGTTTGACACTAATTTTGTCTGATTTGAAGAAGGTGGGGGGGCCAACTTCACTCAGGTCTTGAAATACGTAAATGATAAATAACATTTGCTAAATGATGAGATCTAATTAAAATCATTATCATTTTAAAATTAAATTTGAACAGAACTAAATCTCTTTATAGACTTTTCAGAAGTTATTAAACATACTTTATTGGACCTTAAATAATATCTTTAACAAGTGTAAAAAGTTAAAAAAGAAAACAAGCATCTGGAATGAAATAATTATATAAATTATGCTAGATGTGTATCAGAGAAACAATCGGCAGTTTAACACAGGATTTTCCCCCCATGTAAGTCATCTATCCGTCCTAAATGTCACCTATTTAAAAATTTAGTTAATTTGATAATGAACTGTGAAATGAAATAAACAAAACAACATCTGTTGTATTGTAAATACCCTTAACACAGTTACCAAGACTACAGTAAGTTTAACTTGCAGCAGTTTAAGCTAACTTTAATACATACAAGCCTCCACACAGAACTCCAGCTCCGATGATTCATTTTCCAGCCTGTTTTTTAGTCACTAGGAAAATTTGCCTTTCATCACGGCAACATCCTTCCCTGTCCTTCGTAGCCTCTTTTGAGCCACTCATGGCTTCCTTTTATGAGTCCATCTTTAGCGCCACTGCTCCTCTCTGTAAACACCCAGGCTCAAACAGTGGCGTGCGCTCGAGGGAGTCCATGCTGGAGCACCTGGAGGGATGCAGTGAGCGGACGAAGGAAGGGGAGTGGGCTGTGTGTGTCGGGTGGGCGCTAATGTATAACGTGCCTCTGCTTTTGATTTATAACATTTCACATGCACAAAAGCTGTTGTATACAAAAACACTTACTTTACTCTTATATATTTATTTTTTAAGAGAGAATTTACAAATAAAGGGTTAGGGTTTCATGTTAACAAAATAATTTAAAGCAGAAAATATTTCAAATTTACAAAAAAGTTGCCCTAAAGGAGAATAATTAAAACTGTCAGGCCAGCTGACACCATTGATTGATTAATCTTCGAATGACGTCTCGCCTAAAACGTTACATTTTTTTAAGGTACCTTTTCTTTTATTAGTTAAAAAGTGAAAAATATTGAATTATTAAGGATAAAAAAGCACTTTTCTTATTTATTTAAAGCATGCATCTCAAATAACATTTAAATGTTAACATTTATAGAGATCTTTCCAGTTTTTAATTTATGAAATATGAGTCACGTTTGGCTCTCCATACCTGCTCCAGTTGCATTTGATCCATTTATGGGTTCTTACTTGTGTGATTTCTACATGTGTGACATGTTTAAATTGGACCACAAACTGTTCTGGTCAAAATCTTTCTTAAGCAGTTAAGGCTGTACAGTTGGATTTTGTATTTATTCACTTCCACTGCAGCATTGTAGTTCATATAGTCACGTCAGTCAAATTAAATACTTCTCACAACACCAATTGGCCCAGTCTTAATTATAAGTTCATCTAGCAAAGAAACCTTAACAGAAACTGCTGAGTTTTTTGCTACATCAGAGCTTTAAGCTCTGACCACCTTCTAAGGCTTTTGCAGGTGAGGGTGATCTGAAGTTCTGTTCGATCTAAAGCTTTACCTGTGGCTTGAGGCAGCTTCATGTTAAGTGATGCAGCTGCTGGCTGACCGTGTACAGAGGGGAAGATTCAGGTTCTGTATTTGCCTGTCTCCACCTGCAGCGCAGCCAGATTCATGTATAGCAGCCTGACAAACTTCAGAGAAACTGCGTTAGCAGCATAACCAGTTAGAAGGAATGGCTGGTGGGTGTACTTCCAAATACTGCAGTGGATCATCCAAAGAAAGTAATAATAAGAAAGTTTTATTCAACTTAAGAATAAGGCTGCAATTTCCTTGCACAAATTAAAATAAACTATTATTTTTAATTAAATAGACCCGAGACAACTGGCTCAGTTGCCCCCTCTCCATTGGCGGGCGTGCAAAATGTTTAGATGAAAAACAAGAGAAATCCTCAGACTATTAATTCACTAAGGGCATTTTTCTTGATTTGTTCATTTGAAGCCAACATTTCAGTTTTTTTATTATTACATGTGACAGAGCAACAAATTAGTGGCCACCTGAAGAAGAAAAATATGTTTCTAATTTAAAAAGACCTCTTAGAAATGAATCACTTCATTAAAAGACTACCATTAACTTGCACCATCCTTCCCTGTGGTTTCTGCATGGTCTTAGACATAAAATGAAGGTGTTACATTTTATATGATAAATTTTAGGTCTTAATTACGTCACAAATTGCTCCCAAATTACATTTAGTGACATAAGGAATTCATACCCTTGTTTGTTGGTGTTTTTGCACTGATTCATAAGTAACTTCAATTTTGAATTTTTTCCATTTATTGGTTATATTTTGTAGATAAGAGATTTGGATTTATGCAGATTGACAGATAAGTGGATTATTCTTTTACTTTGATCTGTCCTCCATCTGTCAGTCAGTTGTTTGCCATCAATTGATATAAAACTAAAATGGTCTTAGTTCATTTCTAAGGTTTGAATTTAACATCCTGATCTGCGACCCTAATGAAGAGAAATTATGATGCTACCCCCACCATGCTTTATTGTGCAAAAGGTGTGTTGATTAACGAGAGGTGCTTTCTTGGTTAATCATGTTTAAACACAGTAAAAAAACCTGCAAGCTTGCATTCGTAATCAATGTAGAAGAAATATGAAATACTTGCTGTATTTGACTTCATTTAAAAGATAATTGGATACAAAAAATGAAGGGACATCATCACTGCACCTCTGTTTAAAAACGAAAAGCTGTAGCTCGCAGTTGATTAGCTTAGCATATAAACAGGAAACTTGTCTGTTTCTCTCCAAATATGAGTTGCCAGGCAACTGGCAGCGAAAACTACCGAGGCATTTTGCTTTTTTCCCAGCCACAACTTTGCTTTATAACAAGCCTCCTGCTGCTTCAATTAGGATCCAAAACTTACGATGAGTGGTGCCATGCGATTTTTAAAACAGGAGTCTGTTAAAATCCAAAGCACGTCAAATATAGCTCCATTTTAAAATTGAAAGCAAAAGTTTTTTCGTGCCCCTCTCCTTTTCTCGCTTCTTACTTTTTTCTTTTTCTTTCTTTCTTTTTTTTTTAAAATCCTCTCTATGACTTTGCCTTTTAGGGTTATCTGCCTGCCAACGCAGAGAGGCGGGAGAGCGTTCTACAGAGGAAGAGACAAGAATATTTTGGCTTTATCCAGCAGTACTACGACTCCCGCAATGATGAGCACCATCAAGACACATACAGACAGGTATATGCTTAATGGCTCTGTTTTTCTGCTGTTCCATATTCCCCTTTTGGTAAGGGTCTGGATGAGGAATTAGGATTATGTGGCAGGTTAATTTACGCCATCAGATCTAATCTGTACATTCCATTTGATTTTCTGGTAGACATGTTTATTTTGCCACCCGTGTTATCCCCTTAGAGAATAATGTTCTTACACCTTTCAGTGATCGTAACGGTTCAGTTAATTTCCCTTCTTGCATACAGAGGTCAGATTATATGCATTATTTCCCAAACTTGCAGATACCGAGATGAATCCCACGAAGAGCCTTTCCAAGGAAGCATGAGGTTTCCAACATACCCTCACTGGTCACTTTATTAGGTTGATCTGTGCATGAGTGGATGAATCAATCACCTGCAGCTCTATGCATAGTTATTTAGATTATTTTATTTTCCGAGCTCACATCTGTACCAGCTGATTATGCATCATGTCACTAAGCTCAGGTCACCTCAGAGGAGTTAACAATAGATGGTTCACCCTTGGGATGTGAATGTCTAAGCATAGACATAAACGGTCTTTATTTAACAGTAGAATTATTATTTTTTCTGAAGCCCAATTTAAGCTTATTGTGCTTATTTTGTATCCGGATTTATATCCAGAAATTCATCTGCAGGGACTAGTCAATTTTCCTTGTTATAGAGTCCTTTACTCTTGTTCCTGATGTATTTCCTGGACTGTTTGTGTCATGGTCAGTGTCAACATGAGCGCGTGATCAGGCTCTATTCAGGGCAGGGACAACCAGCTTCAAAGAGCTGCTTAAATGAGCACTTTTCCCTGGCTTTGAAAATCTCTCTATTTTTTTTTCCCCCTCTTTTTTTTTATCTGTCAGTCTTTCACCAGCTGCATACTCGTTCTTTTCAACATTCGACTTCTTCCTGTTCATTTGAAGCTGATAGGAAACTTCAAAGTGGGCTGTCGGTCACAAAGCTGCACACATTTTTCATATTTGGCTTTGTTTTGACGATTGTTTGAATCCTGTCTTGTAGACGGATTATAGCAGCTTTGGATGAACTGTAAAATTCAGGGAACAATTAAATGTCCTACAAAAGTATTGGCCTCCCGTTTTTAGGCCAGTATTTCAGTGTAACCTGAGTGTGTCCTGAGAAAACCTCCACCAGGAGGTATCCGGATTGTAGAAAATAGTTCTTCCAAATTAAAATCTGAAAGTTATGGGTTAAAAATGTATTCTGCTTACTTATTCTGACACCCCTTAAACTGTAATAACATATCCTGACCTTTTGGGTGTAGACTGTTATTTGTAAACATTGAGTCTTTCTGTTGATGGATTTCTTTAAGGTGAAGTGAGTTCCTGTAATCTTCTCCTCAGATTGTTTTACATTCATAGACCTGCTGAAGTTGAATCAAAGTTAAAATTCTCATCTTTCATGCAAAATGTTATTTGTATGGAAACGCTTCTTCTAAACATGGTGGCGGCAGCATCATGCTGTGGAATCGATAGACAATGGTTTAGATCAGCATATATATGCATCACGTCCTAAAAAGTGATTTGTCAATTCAACCAAAAAATTGGTTGAATTCAGCAATCTGGTTCGTAGTTAATGTTCACAACCAATCTTATTTGATAGCGTTTTAACCAATCCATAATGGTTGAAGGGCAAACCAATATAAATTGGTCACTTTGACCGTAAAATTTAACTCATTTACACTACCCTTGAAAAACCGTGCTGAGACCGGTCTGAGCTCAGTAACTGAGATAATTTATCGTGTGTAAATGGAAAGCAAACTGAACTTAACCGAGCTAGACACAACCGGACCGCGCTAACTGCAGACCAGTTCCAGAGGTAGTATCGGCTCGGTTTTTCCCTGGCTCGGTTTTCTGATAACAAGAGCGCATGAGCAGAACACGTCATCTCCGTCTGGCTGTACATCCCGATTCAAACTTCATTCCAGTAGTTGGCGGTAATGCCCCTCCAGAAGTTGCTTGCCGACCAACACAAAACAGAAGAAGAACAACAATAAACAACAATCCCAAAAGCCGACTTTCTCAAGTAAATCCACGAAAGGTTGCTGTCTTCGCCTGACAGTACAGCATTAATAATCAAGCATAACTTTCTGAATGTGACGAGCGCTGCCATTTTGATATGCTTGATTCCCTCCTTCTTTGTCTTCCTCTTCTTGTGTTTTATGGCGGTTGGCAAACAACTTTTGGTGCATTACCGCCACCAACTGCTTGATTTCCTCCTTCAATACTGGCAGTAATACAGCAGATCGTCACTAGGAGGCGTGGAGTCGAGGAACCGATAAAGCGGGATGTGTAAACGGTCGTCAGAACCGAGCTCGACCTGTTTAACTGATCCGAGCCTGGACCAGTCTCGGCATGGATCGGTTTTTCAAGGGTAGTGTAAATGGGGTAATTGGTTAATTAGGGTTAATGACATTGAAAGCCAGAACCAGGGCTGGAACCACCAACCCTACAGTTGCATGGCAACTCCTGCATCCAACTTCAACTGTTGCTGATAATACGTCTTGGAAGTTAGTGCTAGTGTTACGACCAGGTTTAACGCCAACATTTACATGCTGTAAATGAACACATCATTGTAATTGTTTTCTAGGTCCATAATTACTTGCCGTTTATACACTAAACTAGACTCATCAGTTACAATTTTTTTGGTTATTTGGTCAGCCAATCGAATTGATTGGTCCTATGCCAATGCCTTGGCTAGTGTCTGACCCATATGTTGGTTGTTTTTCCAACTAATCCATTCTAAGAGAGCAGAATGGCCTTGTCAAAGTCTAGATATATAGTTAATCAACCATCTTTTGCCTCTGCTGAGTGAACTTGAATGATTTTGCTAAGATTAAGGTTTTGTGTCGTTGCCCATATGTCTATGTTTAGTAGTAGTTTTAATGTTATAAAATGGGGTTGGAGATGTGACTCCTTGGTAAACACTGGCTCCGCCTACGTGCTGGTTTGATTCTCTAACCCTTCTCCTTTCCATATTGCTGTCAGATTCACATAGACATTCCTAGGATGAGCCCAGAAAATTTGGTGCTGCAGCCAAAGGTGACAGAGGTAAGGTGTCCAGGGCCGCGGCTACAAAGCGCACACGATTATTTCAGCCGGCCCGTCTCCAGCTGCCGCCCTGCATCCGTCTGGCTCCCTTCTGATGAATCTGTCCGCCTGTTGTATTGTTCCTCTGCGGGGGTCTGAAATGGTGGAAACGTGGTCTCTCTCACACACAGACACACAGCAGCATCACAGAGACATCCCATTATGCAAAGACACCCATCTGCACACCCGAGCCACAGCTGCTTTCCATTTCAGAGCACCGAAACCCCAGTCTGACTTCAATCAAGAACACCAATCCACTAACTGTTGCGCTCGCTCTGTTTCTGTCACTGTCTGTAATGGCCAGATCTGTGCTAACCTGCCCGTTGCTTCCTGTTTGTCTTTCTCTTTCTTTCTCTCCCCGCAGATTCACATTGACATACCGAGAACTAATCCTCTTATTCCTCTTTTTCAACAAGCTTCTGTCCAAGAGGTGAGACCCCCTGCAGGAGCACACACAGCACCTCACATTAAGAGGGTTTTCCTTTTTGCTTTCAGGTAGACTCTCTGGGCCTGTCAACAGAGAAGTCTAGGTTCACTTAAAATCATGTGAATTGACTGTTTTTTTTTTTTTAAACTAAATAAGAAAATAGTCATATTTGGTGCCTGAAGAAGCAGAATAGTAACTGGAAAACCCTCACTGAGCATCACTGCATGATGGGAAGAAAGCACAAATTAAAATCAGCAACACAGAATGAATTTCCTCTGGCATGCATGAAATCAGATAACCCTGAACTTTTCTATTCTGCATGACTGACACTCTTATGTCTTTTTGTTGTGCTTTGTCTGTGCTTCTCAATATGAAATATGCTTTTATGGGTGAGTTTGGTTGTGGTAGAAATGAGCAACAGTTTAAACACTAAGACGTATGTTAGCCACTTTTATAAAAACGGCAGGTAAAAAGGTGGCAAAAGCCTTGAAAGAATTTTACAATTAATTGCTTCAGCAGAAAACCTGAGACTGAGATGGCTGTGGAGGGGCTTTTGTTTTTTTTCTTTGGTTGTGGATGAGCCTTAAGCTAATGGTAGCTGGATTCATTTCCCTGAAAAAATGCATTTAAAAATCAGCCAAACAAATAAAGGCTAAAGAAATAATGAAAGCAGAGAAGCAGCCAGTAGTTGCTGAAAGCAATTTCTAGCAACACTAGCTAAGCAAAACAACACCTAATAAAAACACTTTCTTTCACATCGTAGACTAGATCTAAATTATTTGACCTTTAGTTACATCTTTTCTATTAAGAAAGGAAAACTATAAGTACCTGTTTTTACCTTGTTGCTTGCTGAGATTCTCTCTGCAGCTCGACTAACCTGAGCTTCTAAAAGCAGATGTTTTTCATGCAGCCTTTTATCCGATGTCGAGTTTTCACCATTTTAGCCCTTCTTGGACTGTTAAGAGCTTCATTCAATTTGTCCTCAAATGCAAAGCAAGCTCAGCATTTGCAACTCTTATAATAATAAGATTCTTTACCACAGGCAAAGACTTCAGTTAGTGATTAAAATCAAATGTTTACAGGATCTTTGTTTCAGTTAGAGGGGTTTAATCTGTATTTAAACTATGTTGAACATCAATCAAGAAACTTTGCATGACACAACCAGCAATGGTCTGGCTGTCGATCCTACCGCTGCCTATCTTGGCCTTCTAATCGATCAGTAAAGTATGCTTTGACTCTCCACCATTTATATCACCCAATATCAAATAAACACTTGAGTCCATCTATCAGACACTGTGGATCCACGTCAAAATCCAAATATAACAGTCACTTCCTGATTTAAGGGTCGCAACGGCCATAAAGTTGTTAAAATAACACAACTGTTTTGAAAAACAGTAATTTAATTTGCAATAAATACCTGTATTTCTATATTTGCCTTATAAAAGCACTTTAATATGCAACTTCTTCTATTTATACATTTTAGATTTAGTTTTTAATGCTGCATCATTTTAAGATAATTTAATGCTACATATACCTACCAGAGTTGTCTATTTCACTAATAGCTTTAAAATACTGAGCATGATTTATTTACTTTTAATTCATCACAGGTATGAATCAGCAGCTCTAATGGCAAAACATTGAAATTCAGCTTCCTACACAAACAAACTTGGTTTTATTTATTTCCAGGGGTTATTTATTCACAGTTTCTGTGGAGGACTGTCATAGATATGAGCCAAAGAGCCATAAACAAAAAGAAAAAGTCCCCATAATGAGGTGAGGGCTAATTAGGAGGCCAGCACTTGAGGGTGCTTAGTGCGTAGACCTTCACACAGGTGCGAACGAGCCTGCTAAACACTCACACTGGTGTAAAAATGTTTACGTGTAAAATCGAAGGAGAAGTTCAACAAGCGCAGTTAGACGCCCCGGCTCTGTAGTTCACGCAGTGCCTCAGGCAGCGCCACCTCCCGCTGCCACTGTTCTGCACAGGTTAAACTGCTGTAATCAAAGGTAAGGATGAATCCCTGACATCTCCACTACATACTGAGCTGCTACTGTAAACATGGCTCCGCTTTTTTCTTTTTTTTTTTTGAATGCAAAATAAAAATGTGATAAAGATGCACTGAAAAAATGAAATGGAAAACCTAAAATTAAAAAGGTAAAAAAGCAGAAAACGATTGTTTTATCATTTTAGCTGTGATAACTGTTTGAGCTGCTGGATTGTTGCCGAGCTTCTCTACCCGTTTATGTGTAAAAGACATCGATGAAGAGCCTTCATCCTTGACTCCATTTTTTTTTTTGGGAAGGGGGGGCAATTTCCTCTCCACCTTTTGCGATTAGCTTTATCTTGGTCCTCAGGGTCTCAAGCTAATGGGATGAAGCCATAACCATTTGACACAGGAGGCACAAGGAAAGCCGATTTCCTGTCCTCGAGATGCTGTGCTGGAAAAACCTGAGGTTAATGTGAGATTAACAGAATGCGCTCCAAACATTGATCTCTCACTCTGTTTGTTTTGGGGTTGTTTTTTTGGAAGCACACAGAAACAATAAGATGGCTCTTTCCAACCAAAGTAAAAAAAAAAAGAAAGGATATTGGCGTTGGTTACTACAGCATAGCTCTGTGTTTAGCTGCCAGGGTGAAATATGCATGTCAGCTTTGGAGGCTGCATGAAAAGAAAGTCCCATTACCCACTCGGCCTTCTATCCCCAGCAGCTCTCCCTGTTTGATGGATGCAGCTTTGATAAGAAAGGAGCAGGCAGGTAGAGGAAGAATCTGCCAGAGATCGGCTACTGTCTGACATTGCTGTGTTATTTTAAGTCCAAAAATGAAACTGGTAATTCGACTGTTGTAAACACAACACTACCCAAGGAAAAGAAGAAAGGCAGATAGGTGGGGTTACATGAAGATGTGAGAGTTATCGTTGATGAAGGACATTTGGATACAAGAAAAACAAGCTGAGTGTCGAGTCACCTTCAGTTCCCAGCATTAAAAAGTCCCTTATAAAAAAAATGGAAATGTGAACAGAAAGCCCTAAAATGGTGGATTAGGACCAAAAATACATCTGAGCAACTACAACTAAATAGATTTTTTTAAAGACTCAACCCACCAGTTCTATTAAACAACTATAAATGTCTTAGCGGTTAGATATTTACAGTAGCAGCCATTCAAAATGGCCCTTCCAATTCAAACGCCAGTCCACTCCGGCCACTGGTCTTCTCCTGGGCATGCATATTTTTTTACTCTGACTCCACCCTTTCACTGAATTACAGGTGACCAGGAGATGATGCTTCTCTTTAGATCTTAATGTCCACAAATTATGACAGAGAGAATATTTTAGTACAAAGATTGATGTCTAAAAAGCAATTGGGGGCCAAGGGCCCATCAAGTGGGGACATTTTGAATGGCTACTACTGTATAGTAAAATAACTGATTTATGAAACAAGGCAAATGCATAAAAAAAAAGAAAAGGGAACACCAGATAAGTACCTCATATCAAAAATAAGCACAGTTATTGCCCTTAGCTAGGTTAGTTTGTGCTGTCTGTGAAGAAGGTAGCCTCTAATCACATAGTGATTTAAGTTAATGTCATCTGCTAAAGTTAAACTCTCCAATGTTTCTAAAAGCGACTCAATAAACCAAAAAAAAAAAAAAGAGAGAATCAGCTGCAACAGTGAAGATGGTGGCGACCGATCAGGAGGCGACTTCCAGCAGGGAGGGGAAAAAAACAGTATTAAAAGGGGAAAAATTTATATTTCTTACCATGTGTGAAATTAATGGACTTTACTAACACACCTCTAGAGCATTGGTTTATCCATTTAACTTTTTTATTTTATTTTAACCATATTGTGTTGGAAATATGGCTGCCTTTTTCCACACCCGACTCCTTTACTAAACGCTTTCAGTCAAATCTGTCACAATTAACACTGCAGTGTTTCTTTTTAATACCCAAACCAAACAAAAACTGGACAAACATGGGGCCGTTTTTTGCTACATTGGCTCCCAGTTACATGGCACAGCAGGAGCACTGAAATGTGTATTTGTTTTCAATTTTTCCGCTTGTGTTGTAATCACTCGTTCCAAATTAAAGGGTTCTCAGGCCATTTGGGAAAAGACACATTTCAGAGTGTGAATTTTGGCCCCATGTTTCTTCACAGCTGTAGGCGAAATACTGCATCCAAACTGCTTCTTGGGTTCAACCAAATTAAAATCCACTTAATCTTTTAAAAGTGATCTAATTTCTTTCTTTTTTTTTTTTTTTGCTTGGACTAAGTGTTTTTGTCTCTCTGTTAAAGATTTTTGAGCGGATTTTGTTTATCTGGGCCATCCGGCATCCAGCCAGCGGCTACGTTCAAGGCATCAATGACCTGGTCACGCCGTTCTTCGTCGTCTTCGTCTTTGAATACATCGGTGAGTGAACCCCCCCCCTCTCCTCCTCTATATTCTCACTCCATTAACTCCCTGATCCTTCATGTTATATGCTTTTAAAGCAGAGATGATGCCTTTGTAGATGGCATGACGCTGTTACTTTTTACTTCACCTGCACAGGTTGTAGAAAATCTCCCCTGGGACCCTCTGTACTTTCTCATTTTACTCTCTACTGTCATCTATTCTGCTTATATTGCGACGTACTCTCCCTCTTTGCGTGAAAATGTGCTTTGAAATTCTATTCATCAAGTAATTTTCTGGTTAGCACTTCTGATTTTTCTCTGCGGTGTGTGAGGCGTAGCGTGACCCGTGTTGGCACGTTAGTGTCTGTGTTTGTGCACACCCTGCTGTTCTCTCCAGAGCCCCCCTGCTGTTGGCGTTTATGTTATGCCATATTTACCAGATGAATGTTTTATTTTACTGTCACACTTAATTCCTCACACAGTCCAAACACACTACTTCAAAGCCCAGACTTGAGGCATGATGATGGTCAATATGAACAGGGATGGGGATTTAGACTTTAATGCTTTTTGAAATATAAAATAGACTGTGTACAGAAAAAAAAGTAGTTGATATGTTTTTTGGTTTTTCTATTAAATTGAATCAAAAGGCTGCCGGGTTATAAGCTTTTTTTTTTTTTTTTTCATTGGAAATGAAACCATTATTAAACAAGGAAATTTTCTTCAGATCAAATTATTTGAGGTTTTGTCCAAGAGGCCAAAACAGAATAAATAACAACAAACTCAAACTAGGCAGAAATTTAAGACCTCAGGAAATTAGTTAAGGGTATTTGAAGAAAGATTTTTGTAATTTGGGGGTTTTGCTGTTACATAATGCCTGTGTTGTGAAGTTGTTTTGTTGAAGAATGCTTGATATGGCAAGAAGGATGCTTTAAGACTTAGACTTAGACGAACTTTATTGTCGTTTTGTATACACAGAATGGATATAAAACAAAATTACATTGCTAACAGCTTACAACAGTGAAATGAACATTAAAATTATAAAGTGCAGCAGTGATCTGCGTCTAAATAATGGAGAAAAGAAAAAACAAAAACAGTTTACTAAATAATGGTGCAAAAGGGCATTAATATGGAAAGGTTCAGTGCAGTGTAAAATAAAGATGGTGCAAAAATGCATTAGACATTGAGTTGTGTTCTATTTAAAAAAGGATTATAAAAGTTTTCAGCCACTTTGGTGGTGTAAAGTAATGTTGCAAGCGTAATGCAGCGTCCAGTTTAGAGTTTAACAGTTCAACAGTCTGATGGCAGCGGGGGAAAAGCTGTTGCTGGTTCTGCTTTAAAGGCTGCGAAGCCTCTAACTGATGGTGTCTGATGATGTCATGGGCTCAGAAAACGCTGCTTTGGGATGAAATGACCTTAATGGAACTCAACTTAAACTTAAAGTTGTCTATAGTAAACCTCAAATATAGGAAGGGTTAGACAAATTAAAATAAAAATTCCCTTTAATTGCGGAGCTGGTAGCATCATGCTGTGGGAAGTCCTTTATTTGAGACTGGAGCTAAGGTACAATACTTACAAGTAAGAGCTACAGTGGTTTATATTAATTCATATCCATGTGTTCCAAAGGCCCAGTCTAAGTCTAGGCCTAAATCCAATTGTAGTGTGCAGCAGGATTTAAAAATGGATGTTCTCTGATGCTCTTCATCCAATCCGAGCAATTCGGAGGAGCAGAATACAAATGAAAGCTGCATTGAACAGGTTATTTTTTTTTTTAAACAGAAACAATTCTAATTAAGCTAGGAATCTTTTCTTCTCCTTTATACTTTGCTTCACTTTAAGCTCTCAAAAATCTAAACAGACCAACTAGAAGTTAAAAAGTTACAGAGAATATCAGCTCTAAGCCTTCCTGCTCTTCCAAGCTGCTGAATGTTTGCCGTTTCTCTTCCCCTCACTCGGTTGTCCATGTAGAACCGTCTGTAACCACATTTTTTTCTTTAAGGGGCTCCATTAACCTTTTTTTTGGAAGCAGCATAAAGTAAAGGTACTAAATGGAAACCACAAAGATCCCCCAAGGAATAACTTACCCGCAGTGGTCTCACTGTCGTCACTAATGATGCAGAAGCCTTGCGAAGCATGAAAGCAGTTTGGCTCCATGACTTCTGAACTCCTTTGGCTTTTTAAATGTTACATTTCAGCTGTTTTATTACTCCAATCTCAAATAAAAGGGCAGTTATCTCAGCCACTGTTCTCTCTATTGCCGTATTCTTCAGAAAGATAATGTTTAAAACTGTTATATCTAAAATAAAATTTTTGGGAAAACAGTCTTTAGATTTAGACTAGATGTATTCAAAAATGGAAAACATCTCTTTAGTTTTGCACTGTGAGCTATGGTTATCTTGTTTGAGGCTAGTCAAAATAAAGTAACTGAAACTGTACATCTCTTTTTATCTCCAAAATAGGATAAGATTAGGTAATAATTTCATTACCTGAATATTGTTGATTTGACTTAATTTTGCATAGATCTCAAAATCTTGTTGCCTTACTAAATGTGCATACATCTCAATTTAGCTTAAAAGTAAATATGGCGAAGGTTTGCTTCTTTATAAAAGGGAACCTTAATTCTTCCCCTTTTAAAACATGAACTCTGTCCTCAGGATTCGATTGAATGTCTGTGTAACGCAGAGAATAGTGGTGATACTCCATCTGTTTCACCGTTTTTCTTGCAGCAAATCATCAGGGTTTGAAGGCAGCTTTTTAAAGCATCGATTCTCTGCTTTGGCCTTTTCGCTGCTACTCCTAAAGCTCTGAGCTTATGTAGATATAAGTACTTATTATCTGGTGACAAAACCAACAAAACGGCCTTTTTAAAGACTGAATAAATGAAATGTTTCTTTTCTACATTTTTCCCAGGAAAACGTTCCCTCTTACAAGAAAAGTTTTATTTATTAAGTCAGCTATACTACTGAGGTTTTTTCTTGGACCCTTTAAGAGACTCATTTATTAGTCTTTACTGTAATAAGTGTCTTCTTTCTGATTGTTAAGACAAACCCATTAGAAATGAAGCACATTACTTCCTGGTTTGTTTATTGGAATGATCCCATCCTGCCCACTCAGCCTTTCAGTCCCTTGCTTGACTTTGCATTTTCCTCTCTTCCTGCATTTGTTCTTCTTTCCCTCTTTGCCTTTTTTTTTTCTTTCAGTCATGTCAGATCTTCAAAGCATCACCCCCTGCTTTTGTGTCATGTACCTCTATGCACTGATGAGGCTTTGCTAACATAAACAGCCAACAAACCTTCAAACGTGCCTGGCTTGCATTTCACTCCATGGGTGGATGTGCTGCGCTGCTTTTTTTTTTGGTTCTGATAGAGAGACTGATCTAAATCACAAAGTTTATGTTGGTTCTTTGAAGATGAGGGAAATTCAGCTTTTTTGCGGAGGAGGTGAAAACATGTTTACAGAAAGATTAATAATTGGCATCTTTATTTAATAAAACATTAAATATTTGCCCTAGCAAATGTCTAAAATCTTTAATCAAATATACCTTTACTACTATCTGGTGATAAATCAGAGAATGCTTTAAGTTCTCCCTAAAATGGTGAAAAAGAGTGGAAAAGGGCAGACATGGCAGTGCTAAGAAAAGACCACAGCCAGTCTGAGAGTGAAAGAGCGTAACACCGTGAGTGTACATCACACTCTTTGTGTGGGATGGACTCACTCTTTCATGACTGTATCTGTGGTCTGAAAACAAGGCTTCACCCTAAGTTGCCACTAAAAGCACTTGTTGGCCAGACTGGAGGAGCTTTCCCGCTTATTTCACTGAGTCATACGACTGAACTGTCAAAGCAACCTAAAAACGGTGGCATGTTGACTTTTTTCCCGTAATCTTTTAAAGTGGCCTCAGACTATAGAGGATTGAAGAACCAATGCAGTTTGCTACAAAGGGTTAGAAAGTTGCTCCAGTCAGATGGAAGTAAAGCTGAGCATTTTGACCTTTATGGAAATATTTAAACAAACTTTAATTGTCATATTGTATACACAGCTTGTATAAGAAACAAAATTTCCTTTTGTACAGCTTTCATGACATTTCCATTTCTTAAAGTGGAGCAGAGATCAAATGTAAACAGTCTGGGAGAAAGAACATGGTGCAAAAATACACATTGATATGGAAGTTCAGAGCATTAAATATATATGATGCAATTATGCAGTGTTTTGGTTTGGTGTTATGAGTGTGATGCAGAGTCTGTGACATGATTTAGAGCAGAAATAACCAAGTAAAAATCAGCGGGGTCCAAGTAAAGAAAATAATCAACGGTCTGGAGACATTTTTAATTATAGTCTTTTACTTTAAATGGCATTTAACACCGAAATGCAGGTGTTTATGCATTCATGTTATACATTGAATTCTTAAAATGAAAAATATATATATATAAAAAAAATGTTTTTCCATTTTAAAATCTAAATTGTTTTGAAGGAGGAAACAATCTTTCAGTTTGGTATATAGAGAATTTCCTGACTCACTTTTTTAATTTTTATAAAACACCTGAACTGACTGTTTTTATGGCTTAATAAGAGAAGTGAGCTTTAGGTAGATCTGCAGGGCTTTAAACCTGGGTTTGAATGGCAACAAAGCCATACTAAACCACATTTAAAGGGGCTCATTTTGAGCCTGGATCAATATTTATATTCGATTATGTTCATGGTTGGGAACCCTGCTTCACAGCAGCAGGTTGAGCCAAACATACCCAAAATGTGCAGGGTCATCTTTGATCTTTTTTGTCACCAGTTTATCGCAGTTCTTCCAGCAGTCCACACTTTCTCTGCTCTCTTTTTCTCATTGTCTCCTCCTTCTTTCCCATCGCCCAGCTTGCCACAGGTTTGCCTGCTGTCTCTAAAAGTGGCTCGCAGCCTGACTTGACAGCTCATTGGCTAATTTGTATCACATGTAGCCTGGTCCAGAGTGCTCCGGAGGGCTTTACCATAAAAACAGGAGAAGCGGTACAAGTGACATTTAAATACTGTCGT